GCACTTGATCTTCCAAATCATTACCATTGTCTTTCAGTAGATTATCCAAATACAGTTGTGCTATACTTTTCCTATTTTTTTTAGGATATTTTCTCTGTGAACCCAGAAAACAGATTTTGTTTTCCATGTTTTTGAAGTTGTAACTGTACCCTGTCTAGAAGGGCATTTCTTAATCTCCTTCAGAATCAAGAGCTGGGGCTGTGATTCAGTTGAGAACTGAAGAGAAGTTTCTCTTGCCCAGGATGACAGCTAATGATTAGATCTGAGGGGGAAGAGTAGTAGAAGGGATGTGATGAAGAAGGATGTAAAGGGTTTGAAAGAGACTTGATGAAAGCCTTAATTGAAAGCACTGATCTGAGAAAGATGGTAGGTTTGGAATAAACATTAAGACTGGCATTATAAGTGGAACTGGAACTCTGTGAGTAGATGTGGTCCTGCAGGCCAGGGGATGGTGATTCCAGGGCTTCTGGGTTAAGAAACGAAGAAAAAGGGGTCACAAGAGGGTATCTTTAAATAAGACCATAGTGTAGGGACAGAACTCTTGTGCCTTTCTCAATTATCTTATTTTTTTTTCTGTCCCTTGTCTGAAATAGAGCAGCCTTATGTCAAAGTCTTTGTTCATCTTTTGTTTCTTTATTGTCTCATACAAATCATTGCAGTGTTTTCTTACTAAGTTTCTTCCCTTAAATGGTGAGTAAATTCAGATGATGTAGAGATGCTTAAGTGCATATGACTTGAGTTTTCTTTAGTGGATGACTGTGGATTGAGATAAACCAAAGGGAATAATGTTCCAGAGTTTATTGTTTTAATATGGTGTGAACCATCAAAAATATTCCTTTTATACTAGTAGAATTGTCAGAGCTACATTTTCTGACAGAGCTATAAATTTCTGCCAATAGCCCCAGATTTTTTCAAGAGACAGACATATAGCATCTGCCTATTTTCCCTGTCCTAGCCCTCTCTGCTTTAATTAACCCATGTGCTAAATTAAGAAGCCCTGTTTCCTTCTGAGGAACAAATGGGTGCGACATCAGAAACGAACCTTCTTGCTTTCTGACCAAAGAACTGTCAAAGATGAACAAGAATCCTTAACTGCATACAGAATTCACTTGGAAATGCTAAATTCAAGTCACAGCTGAGGTCAGAAGAGTCTTATTATTGAGGTCATGGTCTATTCTGTGGTAGGCATTAAATACCATTCTATTGCCCCATTTCTGTAAGCTGAGAGGAGCTTGGATCTCACTCTTGTTAGACCATTGTCTCTGTGTCTAACTTCACAGAAATTGTGTAACACTACTTTTTCAGTCTGTGTGAGGTAGTTTTGAGGATACTCAGCTGTAAAACTGAAGACACAAGCCTATGTTGGCATTATCACATGAAATAGAGCACCAGGAAATCAGTGAGGGGACGAACACCTTCCTTCAGCAGGTGTAAGGTTATCTGCTAATGATTTTGAGGATAGGAAAAATCTGTTTTAATCACCATGGTACAGTTTTGTTTTGCTTCGTTAATATGCCATTTTTGCAGAATAAATTATGTCGCTATGTCTAACTTTCCTCAACGTCTGTGAGTGACCTTCCCTCCTGGAAGTTTTTGTAATACCACATTTGAAGAATACTTCTTTGTGGGTCATACTGGAACAAAAATGAAAGCTAAATTTAGCTTATATTGATGGAATTGGAGCTTGCAAACTCAAATTTTTGCACAGAAGTTTTAATTAAACTCATCTTGACTAAGCACTGGAACTTTGCTATTGTGCCAAACAAAAAGGGAATATTATAAAGACAAAATCACTTAGTGTAAAAACTTGGTGCTCGGCTTTTTGTTGTACTTCTGAGCTTGGTGTTGGGTTTTAACACTGGAATTTTATGGCAGAATCAATTAATTATTAAAGGGAAATCTACTGGTGCTGTGACCACTTCCCTGTACTTGCTACTTGGTAAAATGGAAAAGTAGGAAAAATATTTCCAGATAGTGTCTGTTTTGAATAACACTTTTGTAAACTGGAATTTGGCTTCTACTGGACAACCAAACCCAAATTATACTATGGCATGAGCTGTGCAGTCATGTGTGTTATTCAGTGCTGGTCCCACAGCCTGGTGAATGCTGGGCAGATTTAGAAGTTGGGAGATGCTCTCCCCATGAACAGCAAGTTCATTCCAATAGTCGAGACAAATTTTCTTGGAAAGAGGCACCTTGTCCTTGGCAAGGGCCCTTTTTATTTGAGGTTGAGTTTCTTATTGTCCAATAAATTTCCCTTGCTACTTTCTTTGAAAAAGTAAAAGGTTTTAACCCATGACAAATGAGAAAGAGCCCATCTTTTGTGCATATCTTGATGGTATGTGTAACAAAATGTATGTGAACAGCAATGACCCACAACTCTTCCTGCATTTTAGCTTAATGCACAGCTAAATTAACTTGTATGTGTTTGGCTGGGTCAGGTCTGTCATCTCAAATATGATGAGTTTTGGGTTTGGAGATACTGGAGATATACAAAAACCTGACTGGATAGTGTCCTGATCAACCTGCTGGCATTGGCCCTCCTTTAACAAGGAGGGTTGAGCTACATGACCTCCAGATCATCCTAGCCCTTCTGTGGCAGGGTTAGGTTTTTGGCAGCTCTCAACTTGCCAGAGAAAGAGACAGGAGAAGTGGAAATTAAGCTAATGTTTTCCAGTGAGACACAAGTACAGCCCATAGGAAACACTACTAAAAGCCATTGGAAGTGACTGTGGCTGATTCATTAGTTATTTTCTGGGCTCCTGTGTAATTGTTTTGCATGGGTTCCACTAGAAAACACTGTGTATGTCAGGCAGTATTCTAATGTTGGGAAATTTTGGTCACTACTTGTTCAAGGAAGTGATGCGCACTTTTAAATTCTAGATGGATCAGAACTGCATTTGACATTATTCTATTTTTGAAAAATTATTTGGTATTAAGAATGTATTTGAAGCATATTCAGAATAACTCTTTACTGTATCTAGATGTGATTGAGTTGGGGATGGAAGATTTCAGAAAGAGGTCCATTCATTTCTGATCTTTTCAACTGGATTATGAGGGGGGTTTCATGTCCTTGTAGAGATCACTTTATCTTCTGAGCTTCAATTTTCTGCCCTTTGAAGGTGGCCATCCTACAACTCTCCATAAAAAGTTCTAAAACATGGGCATGCTAAGAACTGCAATATGATTTGTAATTTTAACTATTGAAAAAGAACAAAGCTTTCAAGGGATCTAACCAAAGTTTTATGAAGTTCTGTAACAGGATTATTGGCAAAAGTAAGCCTAAACATCTGAATGTTAGAGTAAAATAGTTTATTTTTAAATATTTTTAAAAGGGCTCTCATTTTTTAGAGCACTAGTTATTTCAGAAAGTTTGTAAACAAGGTAGGTAGAATGTTTTAGAATAAAATATACTTTAAAGACATTTAAAAATCTAGTTGTGTTTTTTACATTTTACAGCTTATTTGATGATTTCCATCTCCATTACTGCAATGCAGCCAAGTTAAATGTTAATAAATAGAATAGCGTGTTCAAAGGAAGTTGAGGAGAGTGTCATTGGTAATTGCAGCTTGGTGACATTGTTTGACAGATTTGGGGGAATAAGAGAACATGCAGGAGGACCTGTTCTGGTTTGAGTGGAGGGATTTTTTGCCAGGCCAGGAGATTGAGTGTGATAATGACCACGGGTTTATTTTATCACAATTCTTGTTGGGTTTTCTTAACATTGTTTAAGAGTACCAATCTTCAGTCTTTTAATGGGTTCTCTTTACAAACATGTTTGATATTCTGAAATAGCTCTAAAAGTTTCCATGTGAACACTCTAGGATGAACTGAATTAATAGTATATACTGCACTAATCTGTTTTTCTAAGAGTCAAAACATGTACAAATCCCTTTTACCCTGGAATTTTGTAATAATGATTTACTTAAAGTTTACAAATTATATTCATGTTACTGGAGTTGATAATTAACGCTATTGACAAGTACAAAACCAGTGTGGAAATGCTTGATGTACTTGTATATAGTAGAGGAGTGTTTTCCGAGTTCCTATTACAGCTTTCCTACATCTGGTTTGTATCATTCACAGTAGAAGTGGCAGATGCTGGAGGCATTTATATGAAAATTTATTCTCTTTACTTAAAGACATAATTGAAGAACTTGTTTGACTTTATTTCATTTTAAAATTCCTCTACTGAGCGTAGAAAGAAGCTTTACCTGCTGCACTAGCAGTGAGGTGCTGAATGAAACACATCATTTTCCTGAAGCAGAGGAGCATGTTTTGAGCTGACAGTTTGCTACAAGGCTTGTTTGGCTTCCTGGGTGTGATTGTATCCAAATGAATTTGTGTACTCTAATGTGAAAATGTTTTGAAAACTGTAGACAGTAAGATCAAAGAGCTTTCCAAAAAGAGCAAGAAACTAAAAGGTCATAATTATTTTTTTAACCACTGGGTCCCAGTTAGAGCCTTACACAGATACACAAAAGCAGAAAAATTGGGTAGCTTAGAGCAGTTGGAAAGGGAGAATTCATATTAAGAGACGTCAATGTAATAAAATGTCAGGTGTAAAAGCAGACCTAAGAGAATGCCAGGGAGTGTGCATCTTGCCACATTTCTTAGAGAGAAGAAAACATATTCAGAGATGAGAGTGGCAAAGCAAGAGGAGATCGTTTCATTCTTCCCAAGCTCACCTTAAGGACTAGTTCCCACTTGCTGTGTTGTAAGAAATAACCTTTTCTCTGTGTAAGCTAATTTTGCAGAGCTTTGAAAGCTTGATTGGCTTTGCTGCATTAGCAGTAGGTCACTTCTGCACTTCATTGTTCTGGGAAGTGTGGAGCATGACAGTCAGATGCTGCAGAGTTACAGGGTGGCAAACTGCTGAGAGCCTCTGGGAGCAGATGTTCAACCCCAGGCCCAAAATCTGAAGTTCTTTACAATTTGGAGCCTTCTAATAAAGAAAAGTACTTTTGTTAAGTGGTTATTTTTTCCTTATCTATTCTCAGGGTTGCTCTCGTGGAAAATATTCCTGAAGGGATCAACTATTCAGACAGTGCACCATCCCATTTGTCTCTTTTCCAAGGCTGGATGAATTTGCTTAATATGGCTGAAAAGTCTGTTGACATAGTATCTTCCCAGTGGGACCTCAATCACAGTCATCCATCAGCATGCCAGGTATGTTCTAGCCTAATGAAAGAGTGGGACTTAACAGACTGTTCTTGTTGTCAAACTTAATTTTACAGAACTAAAACCCTTCCCTGCAGCAGAACTATTTGTTTGGGTAGTCTAAAAATAATTTTCTTATGGGGATTTTCCTGCCAATACAAAAGTTTCTAAGAGCAGTGGTGTACTTGGACTAGGTAACGTTCAACATATACTTATAGCACTTCCATCTTAGGAAAGAAAGACATTGAGTAACCTTAAGAAAGCTGTCAAATTGTATATATGTTAGCACATCTACCTGTTTGGTAACATTCATAAATCTATACAATTATTTTTTTATTTGGTGCTATTGATGAAATAAAAAGGCAAGCATTTGGATTAATTCTCCAGCCAAATAGATGGATAGAATTACACTTACAAAGAACAATATTGTATCAGATGATTCATAGCTTTTCAAAGTTAGTCTTGGGAGGCAGCAGTGTTCAAGATTTCTGCAATTAAAAACAGCATGAAAAATCAATCATAGTGAATAAGGCAGACATGCATTGCAGTGATGCTGTGCCAACAAACACTTCATTCTTGAGAGCAATCCTCTTAGAAATATGGTCAGGAAAGGTTTCCATTTAGCATCACTTGTGAAACTAAAATACCAAAGAAGGGATAGGCTGAGAGTATCTTCTCTTTTCCACTAGATAGATTGTTTGCTGAAAGGAGCCACTCAGCTGACATGAAATGGTGCTAAAATGACAGCCAGGTAGCTGTAAGGAATCGACTCTGTTATACTGTGGCATAAATCTTGGCTTTCCTTACTAGTTCTGTTGATGCGGTGCTGTAAAAAAATGCCTTTTGGTAGATGATAGGCAAATCCTGGTATTCTCACCAACTATATTCTGCTTCTTTTGAAATAGACTCTAGCCTAGTTGAGCAGCATACATTAAATTTTCTTCAGAAAAAGTTTGCTGCATGTCCATTTAAAATACTGAAAATATAAGGTGAGCAGATGAATAGAAAATGTAATGCAAATCCTACATTTTAGCATGTTTATAAATATTGGAATGTGGTTTGTGAATAAATTTATGTGGAATATCAAAATATTGACTTTTTCACAATGTAATTGTGTGCAGCTAAGCTTTATTTAAATTTATTGCCTAAGTAGCTTCAAACCCATGTGCTGTCATTCAAGCACATGAATTCAAGGAGATAGGGCCTTAGATATTTCTAGGATGTGCATGAATTGATATGTGCATGAATCTTTCAAAAATATTTTGTCTGAAAAAAATTCAGCATGTCATTTGCTTCAAAACTGGCAGAGCCTAACAAATCCCAAACAGAGGGTATAAAATAGCAAAATTGAAATTGGGATTCCAGTAGTTAAGCATCAAATCCATTCCCTTTTCCACATTCGCATTGCAAAGCACAAACTGTAAGATACCATTCAGCTTGGAAAGGAACAAGAGACGTCTAAGAAGTGGATTTGGTCTTTTGTCTTCAAATGCACAGTTGAAGCCAGAAAAACGAAACATTTTTCATAATACTCTATACTAGCTATCTTTTTCTGCCTGCTAGTAGTCTTACAAAAATGAGTAATTACTTATGTTTAAAAGCAATTAATATTCCAGTCATTTTCTCATTTGTACAGCAGCATGGGCTGAACAGCTGATAGATCTTTCTGTCAAGCCTGTCTATTCATGCTAAAACACTATATTGTTACTGGCCAGTCTGATTGCTAAAAAATTGCCAAGAGGCAGTGTTTCTTAGCAAATTGCTGCCCCAAAAAATGTACACAAAGCTCACTCTGTGAAAGAGAAGGGAGAAAACTTGTATCATTACATCTGCTTTCTCCACTCCGTGAAGTGGAAGTGAAATTTCAGAGAAGCTTCAATAACTATAATCTAGTAATTGTTTGAAGAATAAGTCCAGTGTCCTCAAGTCTTTACAATCTGAGTTTGAGGAAATTTGCCCCAGCATAGCAGAAGCATTATGAAAGGTAAGGGGATGAAATACAAAACTCCCAGGTAGTAGAGTGCTTAGTGGATGAGTTCTAGTTGTTTCTTGAAGGAGTCTTGTTTTTTAGAAATTAAGGACATAACCATTTTCCATATGGACCCACATCCTGCTACATAATTAGCAATTTCTATTTTATGAATATTCAAGTCGTATTGGAGAGCAAGGTTCTCCACAAAAGCACTTGAATAGACATGGGTTTTTGAAGGAGAAAAGCTAGAGTTGGCTAGATTTCTTTTTCACAATTAGTTACAATGTTTAATTACATTCTCTATATACGTCTGTGTAGTCCCATGAGTAGATGCATGAGTACATGCGCACACACATATTGGCAAGATACATATTGAATAAAAATATAGCAGGAAATTCTGCAACTTTGTATGTACACATACATATATATGCCCAATATATATTGGGAATATATTGTCATCTGTATGGATATATATTGTCTGTCTTGTCCAAATGTGTATTGGACATACATAGGTATGTATACACTTGCATATATAAAATTGCAGAACTTGCTGCTGTATTTTTCTGTATTTTTGTTTGTGGGTACATTACCTGGTGTCCTTGACTCTTGCTTGTCTGTGTTTTGTTGTTACAAATCTAAATAAACATTCATTGCCAACTGAGCTGTCCAGGTCACAACAGCCATGCTCAGTCATCTGAGTTGATGAGTTTTGCTAAATTGGATTCCCTAAGGACAGACACATGATGAGACAGTGTTTCTGTTCTTCAACAGATAAAGCAGTCAAATAAACAAATATTTGCATGGCAAAATAGTGAGTTCTCTCTATGATGCTTGTCTCATTCAGAAAAAAATCCACATATTTTGGCGAGTTTATATTGTCATATGTGTGTTTTCAAATTGCAGGGTGATTGTCATGTAGCAGCATTGAGGTTTTAGTGAAATGTGAGTATGTGACTCTTCCTGTGGTAATCTATGTTTAGAGATAGTAGAGGAAAATGGAAATTATTTTTTTTTTGAGGGTAGCTTTTGATTAATTTTCAGTGCAAAGAGAGAGGTGAATACAAGTTCACAATTTTCACAGTTAATTTCCTCTGGGTCATCTTATGTTTTGAAACTTTAATTTAGAATGACCTTTTAGATTTCCAGCAAGTCCTTCACAAACTTCAGTTTGTTTTTCACAAATCAGAATCAATGCCATCATGACTTATTGGTATTGCCATGTGTATGACCCAGTTGGCCCTGGATGGATATTTGGATAAACATAAGATGATCAAGGGTAGATCTGCATCTGATTTTTTACAAGTATCACATAAAAAATACATACTTCTCATTTTATTCACCAACCTACTATGCAACTCCCATATGGCTTCATGGGAGAAGTCCCATCCATCTGATGCTCATGTGAGGCAGCTGTCCAGCTTTGTAATCTCTGGTGAGATGCCATGAGTCACTCACACACGCATTGCCCAAGGAGCTTAAGTGATTTGTTTGGTAGAACAAATGTTAGTGCAAGAGCTTAAGTTTCCTTCCTTGAAAATTATTAAAAAATGCAAATAAATACAAAAAAGTATATCTCCAAATCTAGCAGCTCCCAGTGGAAATTGGATAGGATCAGCTACAGAGGTCTACAAGCTTATCTTTACATAAACATCCCTCCTCTTCAGCTGGTGGCGTTTCCCTGGTACTGACTGAGGCATAGAAAATAAATTCAGTGAAAGGAGGGTTTTTAAAACTAAAGCATACTTCTTTCTTTTGCATTAGCAGTTTGGTGAGAAGATTTGAGGAAAGCATTAAAGTTTCTTTGTTCTCTATTAAATACCAGCTGTAAAAGTTAGGATTTCTTGATTTATTTGCTCTATTGGTTTCTGCCAGCATGCTATGGTTTTTAGTAGTGTTTTAGAAATATACCCAGAGGCTTGATTATGGGAATACTTGGGGACAATAGTAGAAATATATATATAAAACCAGAAGAAAAGTCTATGAGATAACCAGGCTTTTTGTGTGGGATTAAAAAGATAAATATTTTCTAAACTGCAGGAGTTTATGTTACTGAAGAATCCAATAATGCAATTTGAGTCCTTCAGTAAATACAGCAGTTTGTATCTCCCCATTTTATTTCTAATGAGGAACCTATGGTGACAGAGACAAAAGAAGACAAGGGAAATCAGCCAGGGTACAGTCAGCCTGTCTAGAGTCTGCCAATAAATTGCTTTGGGGGAAATTTCAGGACTTTTTGGTATTGACAGCTTTGGGGTTATTTTAATTCACCAGTTTTCTGTGGCAGGTACAGTTCTAACTGATGTTTGAGATTTATGTTGGTTTAAAGCCATGTAAAAGTAAATGTAAAAGGAAATTTGTTCATGTGATAAATACTTACTACATTCTATTTTGTCACTTTTGGTGTTTTTCAAACAGGCCAGCAAAAAGTGTAAGGGAATATTTTATCAGGATAAGCAGATTTCTGGTGGTATTGTTTGTTAAAATGCAGATTTTGCTACAAGGTAGCCACAGTTTCATAGCACTTGGCTGCTCCTATTCTCAGTCCTCCCAAGCTGGGTTTATAGCAGTGCTTCTGATCATTGTCACGTAGTGGTGCAGCAGCCTGCTATTGTCTCACAAAGGGAATGTGGTCTGAATGACAGCATAAGGGTTTTTATTCAACAGAAGCATTTCAAATGTTCTGACAGCAGTAACAAAACATTTCAGACCTTCTGTCCCATCTTTTTTCCTTTTCATAGAACAAACCAGTAAAATTGCAAGTAAACATGTCAGAAAGTGTAGAAACTGAGTTTCAAATTAATATTAATGGAGAAGTAGTCTAGGTTCTTCAGCAGTGTGGGAAGAATTTCTAGTAACCCTATTTACTGGAGTATGTACTTGCTTTTAAAAGCAAGTTGTGAATTTTTCATAGTTTGGTTCATCAAGCTTAAGCCTTGGGGGTATGAATGCCTGCTGAGGGATGATGAAGTGACAGGTGAGACAAAGGGAATTCTTTCCAATTTTGTAACAGGTGGTGGTTTTTATGTACCTGTATAAACACAAATACCTGTGGCAAGTGCACTCCTGGTTTTAACCATCATACTTAGAGATGCTTTAAATGTTGAATCAATCTGAGGTTTTACCATTCATAAACATGATTGGAAAAAAAATGCCATAATTGAATAGCTTGTGGTGTCCCTGATGGGAAAACAGATGCATTTCCAGAGGAGATGGTTTCATTGGAATGCAGGGCTGCACTCCAAGCAATCTATGAACTATAGGATGGGCTGTTCAGAAGGCAGCATGGTCTGTAGGAGACAGCTGTGTTGGTTACATCAGGGAAAACTCAGGAGGTGCTGCCAAATTCTTTTTTGTCCAAACTGCAATTAATACAGAAAGTCCAGGCTTGTTTATCAAAGCTTTTATAAATCATACATGAATGTAGTCTCCTGTAGAAGTGACAATAATATCCAAAAATAACTACTGTAGTTCCCTATATTAAATTAGGAGCCATCCCCTAAAGCAATTTATTTTATCAGTTTTAGACATTAACTTTCTAAGCATTTCTTTGTCAGAACAGTTAACCCATTTATTTTGTATTGATAATAATAATAATATTCCACTGAATTTATGAATGCATTTTCCATATTTATTTCTGTATGCCAGAGTTTCCTGCTGTTCTAGACAAAATCAGTTTTTACAGATAACCTAAACAAAAACGGTGTTTATCTGTCTATCTACTAAATGGAATCAACACAGAGAACCTGAGTACCTTTTCTACTTACATGTATATTAGTTAATGTGCATAATGCAAAAATTAATTTCCAAGCTGACTTTTGGAAAGATGTAGCTAATGAAAACCAAAGGTGCTGGACGCATAGGAAGCATATCCAAAGGCTGGCTGAGCTCTGACATGCTGGAGCCTGATGCTTCAGGGTAGCTGGGGGATGGAGCAAAGCAAGGACTGGGAATTTAGCAGACAGCAGGACAGCCATGGCTGTTCCCAGATTTTATTGGAGTCCAGCAGTGCCATACAGTAGCACTTGCGTGAGAAACCCTATTGGAGGGAGCAGGGCATGCAGGAACACCAGTCAGTGCACCTCTGCTCCTCCAGAGTCATGCTGGAGCAGCTGCATGACTCTATATGGAGCATCCATCTCCTCCACACTCTTATCCATCTCATTAATTCTTAAATTCTCTAGCATCTGCTCTTCTTCTTAAAAAGACCAAACACAATCTCTGGTGTAATAATTAAGGATTTTTTTTTTTAGCTTGATGAGGTATGTGAGGGAAAGCCACTCATTAAACTAGAAGAGCAACTCAGGACACTTGTGTGTGTGAGTTAAAATCATGCATGGTATTTCTTACATATGGAACCACCTAGTCACCTTGAGAAATGCTGAATCGGAGTAAAAGAAGCATTTGGAACTTCATGCAAGGAATTTTGTTTGTTTTCTGTTCTGTTAGCTATTCTTTAATGCTTTCGCTATGGCAGCATTGTGTTCACTGCGAGGTTCTTGTGAGCCCTGTGATGAGAAGGGAGCTGTACTATGGATTTGAGTGAGCAAGCAGGCATACATTACAAAACTAAAACAAGCAGACGTTCTGTTTCCATTGCAGCCTCTGGCATATTGGCAATTTTGAGAAAGCTATATTTTAGGGGGATGGTATTTTTATTTTGCCACATATATTCAAAACAAATGAATATTAAAAAATAGGTCTGTACTTTAAACAGGGGAAGCATTACTTTCTGTGACTATGTAATGCTTAAAGCCCAGCAAAGCTCAAAGTATCAATCTGTCTAGGCAATTACAGGGCAAATTTCTAGGCTTTCCACTCTCTGCTGCTAATGGGTTTTCAGAGTGTGGGGAGGGCCTTTGTCTGAGGTTTTGTTGGTCCATGCTGCATCATATTATATCAGACTGAACTGTTCTTGGTTTGGTCATTTTTGTTGAATGGAAGGATCATTTTAAGATTCTTAGTTTGTACGGAGGATTCTGTGAAGAGCTTTATCTTTGACCTGTTTGAAAGTTTATGTGTAGCTATTGCTTTTTTGTTTTAGGTTTACCCTGGGGCAAACAATGCATTGAATCTAAAGTGAACTGTGTAGGTGGGGCAGGCATTTTGTCAGGTGCATAAGCCCAAAGTCTTTTTGTATTGGACTGCTGATTGAACGTGGTGTCTGCAGTACTAGGTTAGAATAGCACCAAGGAAGTGAGCTCTGGTTCTAAGTGTAGTAACAGCACAAGAGTTTATTCTTCACATGGTCTAGTTGGATGTTACTGAAATTTTTAATTTAATTTAAAATATTCAACCTAAAATTTAAACATTTACAATACAATCAGAAGGTTTACTTCTTGTTTTTTTCTTGGATATGGAAAAACATGGTGAATAAATTTTTTGTTTTATATGAAATTTCTGGTTTGACATGTATCCAGCTCAGTATAACCTTCCTTTTCTTGTTCTGTGTTAGAAATAGGGTTTAAATAGTAAAAGTTTACAGCAGCATAAAAATTAAATGCTCATAAAATACCTATAGATAATTATTTTCCTTCTTGGAATAACTCATCTGAAGACAAGCATGCAACTACTTGGGAATGTGTTGTACTGTGTTTAGAACCACTTGCAAAAATATCACTCAATACAGGAAAAAATGTAATAGACTGTTTTCCTTGAGCTTTTAATACTAAGTCAACAGACTGTGATTATTTGGAAGAAAGTTAATGTCAAAATGTGCTTATGCAGCATAAAACCCCTGGACACTTCATTTTCTGCCTAACACCTGTCACCTTGTCAATATTGCACATTCTGGGAAAAGTAAGAAACTTTACTGGCCTTCAAGAACAGTATTTCTCCAAGAAAATGAAATTGAGTTGCAAAGCTTTAGGGTAGGTTTAATCATATCTGGGAACATAGTGTTGTTTATAATTTTTTTTTGTTTTAACATGCTATTTTAATATGTTGATATGCAGTTTGATCAACTATGTGTCTAAAAGCTTCTGCTTTCCTTTAATGTCCTTCCCAGGGTCAACGTCTTTTTGAAAAACTGCTTGAACTGGCGTCTCGAAATATTGAGATAAAACTAGTGAGCGATAAACTGCCCATGGAATCAAAGGTATTAAACGACTTGAAAACAAAGGGTAAGACCAAGGTCTTTATGTCGTTCTGCCATTGTCTGCTGCGTGATGCTCCTGTTATTTAAAATGCAGACTTGGTTGGTGCATAAAATGCACAGTACTGGTATTGCACTGTGACCTTCCCCACACTCTGAAATCCTTCAGCTTTCTCTGGTTCACAGATGTCAGAAGTCTGAAACTGTTACTGTAGCTGATGTTTGCAGTTTGCAAGCAAATAAAAAGGCAGTGTGTCAGAGAGGTCTTTAAATTCCCTGTGGTCATTTTAACAGTAGACAACATAACCTGAGAGTCTGGGCTAATACCTTGTGGGACAAGATGCTTTTCCTCTTTTGAGCAGTAGCAAAGTAAATTAATAAAACAACATGTGTATGGTACTGATGATCCTGAAGCACTGGAAAATAGACCATTGGTCAGATTTAACCAGCTGACAAGGTTCTTTGTGCTATATATATTTCTTTGGTCTCTACTTTCCTAATTGTTATTTTGAGGCTCAAAAATCCCTGTCCAAAGAGGGATTGCACATTGGCACTACATGAATGAACTTGCTTTATGTAAAACTGTGTGGAAAAATAGTAAAGAGAATTCAAGAGTTGCTGAAAGAAATTAGTCTCTCTTAGGTGTTCCAGCAATCTCATACACATTTCTCCTCTTAGTTATCTATATCTGAGAAAAGCATGATTTTAAGGGTGAGATATACTTTTCAAAGATCAAAAACAACGTGTTTTGATGGTGATCATTTTTGACAAGGATACCTGTATGGATCACAAAGGAAACTCTAAAAAATTTAATTAGGCAAAGGAGTTGATCTGTGTAGTAGCAGCCTAACATAGCATGACTGTTCATGATGAAGAATACAGGGCACCCTCTTCCCACAAAACTCAATCTATATTTGTTTAAATTCCTTGTAATCTCCTCTCTGCACAAGTAAAAGAATATTACTAATGGAAGTCCTTACCTCTGAGGGAAATCAGCTTTTAATCAAGATTGACATGTTATTTAAATTTAATAAACTTAAATTTAATTAAATAATTAATAACTATAGATCCTCATCATGTCATTACACTATCTATTCCAGGGATTTGATGATTTCTGCCACATAACCAAAAGAGATATTGATCCTTTGATAACCAGTAAGAATATATCAAATACTTTGTCAGATATATGTGGAATGTCTTTTTATGATGTGTTCAAAAGGAAACAGGTATTTTAATATCAATGGCAGTGAAATTATCTTTTGAAAAGTTGTTTCTTTTCCCTGTGATTCTAATATCCCAATTTCCTGTGAGTCAGAGAATAGGGGAGGTAGGCCTATGCATTCATATCAATGTACTGGCAGCAAATATTTTAAGTATCATTTATTAAAAATACCCAATACCAAAAGTAATCATGTTTCCAAAAAAATGAAGAGAAATTTTTAGCTAGAAAAGGACGAGAAATATTTTAACACTTCTTTCTATTTATGCAGGAATTAATCTAACCTGTGAGCTTAAAAAAAACTCCAGAACACAGGCTTTTACAATTTTACTAGCTTCAGTTTCCCTTATGCCTTTTTTATATTTCTGAGACAGGAAATCCTACAGTATTTAAATGAAATGATCAATATATTTGTGCTCTAAGCTACAAAGGATTGGAGAAAGTTGCTAGTAATTCTTGTGAGTTTTGTTGTCATCATTTTCAAACTCTGGAATTGTATATATCATTGTGTACTATTGGTCTTTCTCAAACATCAATATTACAACTAGATTTTCCTACTATGATTTTTTTTTCTCATTCCATTTTATGTTCTTCTAATTTCTGCACTGATATTTTTTATTAGAATGTCTTGGTTATGGCAAGGTGATTGCCAGCTCTGTTGCAATTCCTTCACTCATTTAGGTTTGCTGTTTATCTCCATGGAAGTTAGATAAATCTTTCTTTGGTTTTGCATCCCTGAAAATACATAAATTAGTTTTAATTCAGTCAGATTTAGTTGTCTTAATTTTATGTTGAAATGAGTAGACCTTGTATGAGCAGTTTATGGTATGTCCTGTTTGTGTTAAATAGAAGCTAAGTGTGAGGCTAGCTTAAAAACAAACCTAGATAACATTAATCTTTGCTATGCTGTCCTGGAAAAGCTATCTACTAAAATTATTAATCTTTTAGTTTGTGAGGGGCTGGCCACCTGCATCCTCTGAAATCCATCAGAACTGATCATTGGAAGGGAATTGTGCATTATCACTTGGACTTATATCCATGAAGACAACTATTTTTTTTTTCTGCAACTGGTCAGATTTGTCTTTAAAATATTCCATGCACCCTTTTTAACACCCTTAACCCTTCTCTTGGTGAAGAAAGCAATAAACAAATCAGTGGCTCAACCAAGCTGTGAAGCATCTCAGGATGGAGAACCAGAATATATTTGTCCGAGCAGACCCAAACCCTGACTTGTGGTGTCAGTCTGAATTAGGCAGCAGAGAGACCAAGCACTACTCTGGGGTTCCTCACCTGATAAATGACTCTGATTGATCCTAAGCAGCAAACATGCTTGGCACCCAAGCCATGGGCAGTATGGACAGAAAGCACATACACAGCCAGTGGGACTCTGGGAATTTCATGCCTGTCTGAGTCTGCCTTCACCTTGCTAGGTGGGCATAGGTTTGGCTCTTTTTTCCAAGGCAGATTGTATGCACGAGTCAGACTGTCTCCAAGCTGTTCTACTGAATATGAGAGAGAATTGCTATTGCATGAAGAGGGTGGAAGAGTTTTGCCTTTCTTTTCAGCAGGCTGAGTGATCAGAAGCCCTGGGCTGTGCCCTCATGTGGTGCAGACTGGTTCCTAGGGCCGGGACGAGGGATAATTTGGCTGTTGGCCATGGATATACCTGTTAATATATTGCCCAGGAACCTTAAGGGAATCTTCATGTAACATGCCCTGGCTGTTTTAAACAGCCTCAGCAAAGCAGAATCAGTTTAAACACATGGGATTGCTTGAAGAGCAGTACTTTGTCATCCATATGTTTTCATGCAGTTTTGGCTTTTTTTTTGTACAAGGAACCCTGGTAGGCTCCTGTACTGCTGCATCCTCACACAGGTCTTGAGACTATTTCTGCCAGACAGATTATTTCAGCACATCTTTCCTTTTTCTGGACAGTCATGCATTGAGTCCCCTTGCCTCTTCTCCCCATTTCTGAAGAACTGTAGAAAGCTGTTTTTATAGATCTTTTCCACCACAACGGTGCATCTTACCTGGAGTCCTCTCCACACATCCTTCCTCTGCAGCAGCTGTCCCTATTGATTAATAGAGGAGAAGGTTGAAATCTGACTTCGAATGTGGGCTGGTGGGGTAAGATAAATTACTTATGTGGAGGGGGAGCAGAACTGAACTGATGTGGAGCGAAATAAAATTCACAGTTGCAATGCTAGTGCAGACATCTGAGCTAGCTGTGAACCTGCAGGTTTGTCATCACTCCAGTAACTTTTTTTGCCCTGTCTATGCTATCCTGACTTACTTGAGGTAGCTGTAAAGCAGGGGAGCTTGATTACGGGAGTCCAGTGGCTGCAGTGTGAAACATGGATTGATTTATTGTGCTAACACATACCACACTGTGTCAGCTGTGGTGGCAGGATTCTCTGACTGCTGAGATAATGTACATTTGCCAATAATTGCTGGACTGTGGGAGTGTTACTTAGTTGCAAAACTAAGCATGAAAAAATAAGGAAATACTAATCCCATATCATATATTTACTATAGACTTTAATTATATTATCAGATTCTGTATTTTGCACAGAATACCTGGCTGGTACTTGTTGTAATATTACCATATTAATCAGAGGGTTTTCCCTTATATTGAATGAGAATACATCAAACATTTAATGCTTAAGGCAACTGATGTTCATTCAGGGGATATTATTTCTGCTGGTAATGGCTAGAATCTTTTTTTATCTTCATATTTAATGTATGTCTCTAGGCTTTCTTCATTGCACATCTGCCAGATCCTGCACTGAATGCAGAATGATTAATTTCCTTGTAGGCTGTTCTGTGCAGTTTCTCACTGTGGTATCTGAGTGCCCTGCAAATACAGTATTAATGAATTTCTTTTTACAACATCCCTGTTACGTGAGGTTTCTTGCTTTTTCTATCTCTTGGGGATAGAAACCAGTGATTATTAATGGCAACACAGGCACCAGAAGCCAGATCTGAGCATTTGTTTTCTATAGTCACAACTGAATTTTAAAGAAGCATATTAGTAATTAAAAACAAATAATCACATGTAAGTTCTCCCAGCTCACGTTTTCAAAATTATTACTAGACAGACTATAAACTGTGATGATATTTTTATAGGACATATGTGTATCCATACTATGCATATCTGTATACGACTCTTGTGAAAGGTAGGTTTGTCTTTAGACAAAATTTGGCTCATTATGTAAACAAACATGTTCTTCTTTATCCTCTTTGTACAGTGACAGTAGCTTATTAATGCTTGTTTTCATGGTTATTGTTTTAGCCTTTCCTCAGCTGGGGCTCAGTTTACTAGACTGAAGCATTGCTTGTAACCCTCCCCCTCCTTTCCCATAATTATGTACCAGTCTTTGTTCATCAGTAACATTTGAATAGCACTGTCTCCAATTAGCAGGTTGTTGTATTATTTCTCACGTGTATGGAATCTAAATCCCTTCCTAATTGTTATCTTATTTTAGCTGATAGTGTTCATGCTTTTTAAGACATACCAATGGTTTTTCCTGCTTCAATTTGCATTGCTTTCTTTCATTTCTATTATTTTTTTCTCCCGTACTCCTTTTTCATTAAGCATGTTTCATATATCTGCAGGGAATATTTTGTCTTTTTTTAGTGGTGGCAGATAAGAAAAGAGTCTGTCCACGTCACAGTGTGATTTTAGGAAAAAATATCCTCTATGTCAACTAATCACTTTTGTTTATTAGCAAGCAAACCAAAGAATAATAGGGAGTCATTGTCATAGGGCAGGACCAATCATTAGATCACATGTGCAGCTGTTATTCACT